CCAGAGAAGCTGTGGCTGCCCCATCCCTGGCAGTGTTCAAGGCCAGGTTGGACACAGGGGCTTAGAGCAAGCTGCTCCAGTGGAAGGGGTCCCTGCCCGTGGCAGGGGTTGGAGCTGGAGGAGCTCTGAGGTCCCTTCCAACACAAACCAGGCTGGGGTTCTATAAAACATATTTCTACTTCTCTTAGAAGCTAAGTGTGTCACTGCATCCGTGACTGGTTCAGAGGAGGCTGAAAGCAGCAGTGGACTGAGACACAATGTGAATGAGCCCAGAGCCTATAGAACATAGCACAGCCTCAGCCACGGAAGGGCAGTACTGGCTTTGCTTGGCATCAATCATTACAGAAATAGCAAAGGAGGCTGCTCAGAACTAGGAGAAAAAGGCAACAAGGTGATAAAAACCGTTAGCACCATGTACATGTGATGTTTCTGGAGCTGAGCAATCCAAAAGGTTTTCCTCTGAGCAGCCCGAGGTCCCTGCAGCAGCTGTGGGGCAGCAGAGGCAGGAGCACACTGCAGCCTGGGGGCTCTTCTCCCCTTGTTCATCTTGCCCTGATTGAAAGGAGAAGTCTCCCCTATGACAATGCACTGAAGCTCATACTAGTTAAGATCAAGGAGGTCTTCAGGAGCAAATCTGGGCCGTTACCTGCTAGAAAATGGGTCTGTGGCTGCCCTCTTGGCCATGACACATCACTGCTTCCCAGGCATCCGGATCGCTTCTTTTCACAAGGAAAACTGCCACTTTTAGCTGCACAGGGATAAATCCGGGTGTAAGTTTTGACTTTGCTCGCTGCCAAAAAGAGTCTCTGGGGGCTGTGCTACAGGGATAACACTGAGGCTGTTATCCTGGATTGACTCTGCTGTTCCACCAGGAATAGATTCTGGACCTGTATCTGCAAACTGAACTCCGTGCTGGGGCTTCCCTGCGCGTGCAACAGAGCTGTCACTTCTGCTGCGTCCTGCCACCAATCTGCCTGGTGAAGAGGTGGAAGTGGGAAGAAGAGACCTTGGTTTATCATGGCCAGGTTAAGATGCAGCGAGTGAGCTGCTAGGAAAATACGCTTTGCCTTGCGGAGCGGTCAGGTTGGATGTGGAAGCGACTGGCTGAAGAGCTGCAGGACCCTGAGCTGCCACCTTTCCCACAGCTTCAGTCAGGCTGCAGTTTGCATTTCCTGCTATTTATGGACTTTTGACCTGTGCTACTCAGAGGAAAGGGCTCCGTCTGCTCCATGTGGGCCTCCCGGGGGTCCTGCAGGGTCAGCTCCCCGCTTCACCGCTCCCACAGCACACAGGGTGGGGGGCTCACTGGAGCCACTGGTGTGCACGGGGCAGCTGGCAATGTTCAAGCACCTTCAGATGTGGATCTGCTGCCGGTGTGGGTCTTGCTGCAGCTCAGGCTTTGGGACATGGCGACACGCTGACAGATCTATGGGTGTCCTCTGTATTGACTTCAAGCCAGCAGCCCCAGCCTCCTCCATGCAGCAGACCAGGCAATCCAAGCACCCTTTATGGCATCCAGTCCAACCATTGCTCAGTCTGAGGCCCATTCCATACCCAACAAGATACACCTGCTGTCATTGATACCCATTGTCCCAAGAAATGACACCTCCTCATCCCCTCCATCCCCTGTGCCAGGGGCGGGCACCTCGCCCCTCCCTGGCTTCACCCAAGCACCCCCCACACCCCTTCTGCCCTGCATCCCCTCCATGGATGTGAGGATGAGGTTCATGAGCGCCCAAGGGACCAAGGCCCTACCGCCATGCGATGCATTACAATCAGTGTATCAAAGAGAATAAAGCACAGACCTTTAAGAGCAAAGTCTTGAAGCTCTCTACAGGGGAGTTTTCAAAGGGAAGCAGCTTGCTTTCATATTTCTTTTACATAGAAGGTTTTACAGATTTTTGCCATGTTCAAAACAAAATGTTGGCTCAGATTTTAGATCAACTTCCCTTTGGAAAGCGCTAGAAAAAACCCGAGATGCTCCAGCTGCAGCTCCTGGGAGCAGGGGTGCGATCTCTCCCAGCCAGGATGCCTCCAGGAAAGGTGCTGAGGGAGCAGAGATGGACCCTTCAGTGCTGGCTGAGCCAGAAGATATCTTTTTCACTGAAGAATCCCCCCAGTGCCCCACCTGGAGAAGGAGACCTGGGCCACCCTGCGGTACTGCAGTGACCACACTGGGTACAACTGTGTCTTTGTGCCACTTACACCCCCCAAAATGGGTCAGCACCACTGTGGGCGATGCTACATCCAGTCTCCTTAAACACACCCTGGACAACCAACCTGCAGCTGACCCTGGGGCTGAGCATCGGTTGGACTTGATGATCTGAAAGGTTTTTTCCAACCTACTTGGTTCTATGATTCTGTGGTGCAGGCCTTCACATCCCAGCTCAGCATCTGGAACATGGGAAGAATCAATTCCCCTGCAGCCAGGGCTGATGTGCAGTCGCAGGCTGCATGTGAGCCCCAGCACAGCACCGAACACCCAGGAGCTGCAGCGAGACTGGCTGCAAGGGGTTCTCATGAAGCACAGCACCAGCACTATCATACTGCAGGCTTATAGCAACAGCTTGCCCTCATTCGGCTTCCAGTGCAAAATGATTCTAATGGGAATGGAAAGTACTCAGCACATTCCCTACATAAATCCCAGCCTGGTTTGCACCAAAAGCAGCATCAAAGCAGGAGGATGAGTACAGGTCTGGAGGGCTGAGGAAAGGCAGCTCCAGCTCCTCCCATGCAGCCAGCACCCGTTTACAGCTGGTGCTAAACATCTCCAATCAAAATAGTTCCGAATTGTCTTAAAAGGTTACAAATACTAGAGCACAAAATTGGGACTTTTCCTGAATAAATGGGTCGCTATGGAGACGGGGCAGAAAAGTACCAGAGACTGCTGGGCTGCTCTGCACTTAATCCGTTTGCAGGAGAAGCAATTAATAAGGAACACCAGAGTCTCCCTCCTTGGGATCCGGGACATCCCAGTCTCTGAGGCACACCTGGGATATGGCACAACTCCCCCTCCCCCATACACACACTGAAGTGCCCCACAGCCATGGGTGACAAGACAGACGTGCATCCTCGACGCAGGATGCCCACTGCATTTTGTAAGGGAATTATGGCTCATGTAAAAACGACTGGATGTGTGCCACACGCTCTTCCCATTAATGTGACACACTCGCCTCTCCACGGATTAAATTGCATTCCTGGAAAGCAGATACCTGGTGTCAAAGCAATGCCAGGAGAGGAAATATGACTGCTGGCTGGTTGCTGGCTGGGAGCTTGGAGGCAGCACCCAGGCACAGCAGGACAGCAACACCTTCACCTGCCATCCCTTTCCAGCCTGGGTGCTCCTGTGTCCAGCTCCCTGCTGGAGCCAGGCTGCACCTCCCCTGTGTCTGGTGGGAGAGCCATGGCTTCTTCCTTCTCTGTCACCCCAGGTCAAGACATTTCAGACAATTCTATCTGCCTTCATCCTCCAGAGCCTGTACATCTCACAGGGAAACGCGAAGAAAGGGTTTGAGGAAGCGTCCATTGACACCTGAGCGCTTCATGCAAGATTTAAACCCTTCATGAAGAGATCTAAGAAAAATTAATTTATGCCAGTAGAATTGCATGTGCTATTGCTTTGGCTCTGCCCAGAGCTCCCAGCTGGAGCCGGCTCTGTCGTGTGCCCAGCATGGCAAACAGGCACTGCAGGAAGTTTCAAAGGGAATCACAGAATCCCAGCCTGGTTTGGGTTGAAGGGACCTTAAAGCTCACCCAGTTAAAACCCCCTGCCACGGGCAGGGACCCCTTCCACTAGAGCAGCTTGCTCCAAGCCCCTGTGTCCAACCTGGCCTTAAGCACTGCCAGGGATGGGGCAGCCACAGCTTCTCTGGGCACCCTGTGCCAGCGCCTCAGCACCCTCCCAGGGAAGAGCTTCTGCCTAAGAGCTCATCTCAGTCTCCCCTCAGGCAGCTTAAAGCCATTCCCCTTGGCCTGTCCCTACAGGCCCTTGTCCCAAGCCCCTCTCCAGCTTTCTTAGTCTCTTCAGGTATTGGAAGACTGTTACAAAGGATCCAGAGAGCTTTCACTTGCCTTGGATTGCTTTTCCTGGTGCTCCCTAGCTGTTTTGATGGTTTGGAGCTTTAATCCCCACCTATGCCCTGTGAGATGAAGGGCACGCAGCCAGCAGGGCAAGGCCACAGGCAAGGAAGGGATGTGAAAAGCCCATTTACATGAAGCCAAGCAGAAGCAGTCTTAAGGACAGGTGATTATAATCCCTCAGCACTTTCAAGGGTGCATCTTTCAAACACTGCACAGGGAAAGGCTTTTTCTTTCTCTTTCTTTCCCCCAGCCTCTGCCCTGGGGACGAGCTCTTGGCAAGCACGAGGTCCAAGCTCAGCCCTGGCCGAAGGAATGCTGCAATGCACAAAGTCCACCTGAGGTGCAACAGGGAGCAGACGGCCCCAGCAACACGTGTGGGCATCCTGCAACATCCCACCAGCTCACCTGGACCTGCCCAGGAGGGTTTTCACTATCTCACAGGGATGTGGACGCTGTTCTGTGACCCAGCTCAGAGTTGGGCAGCTCATTCTCCAGAACTGACCATATTTACCATTGCCTTTCTAGCCACGCTCTGCTAAACACAGAAGGGGCAGGCACAAGGGCTCATCCCTCTTCAAGGTCACTGAGGGGGAGTCACAAAGGCACTGAAAGCCCTTCGTGGACAGAAAGTACCGTGAGGAAACATCTTGCATGCACACCCCCATGTGTCTGCTAAACAGCTAGCAAATTGCTGTCTCATACATTACACCTTGATGTAATTCTGCTTCATTCTATTTTATTGACAAATCCTTTTCCTAATTTATCACAGCAACGCTATAGAGAACAGCCCACGCTGAGGTGAGCACTGCCACCACCAAAGGCACCGGGTGAGTGTGTGTACACACACCGAGTAAAAGCCCACACGTACAAGATTCTTAATGAAATATGGTTTGTCAAAGCAAGTGAAAATATGAAGTTACCTTTGGTTTCCTTTCCCCAGTGCTACTGAGTCATGTGCATTCAGATCAATGAGAATAAGAGATGAAGGAGCTGTGCCTCGCTGTGTTGCGCCTCGGCCGAGATGGAGCAGCTAGTGGGGAAGAAGACACAGAGCATTATTTATGGCACATCCTCAGCACTACTTCAGTGATTAAATAATTAGGGAGAGAGATTAAAAATTACCCTAAACGAGCTGAATTTTAAGGGCTCCCTCCTCCCTACCTGTGCTGGCTGCTGAGATCTGAAATCATGCATTTTTATAGCAGCTGGCACATAAGATACGACAGCAGGATAAATACGTACATTTGCAATAGGACCAGAAACAAAACCCATCCCGTGTGTCTCTGGGTGACTTGGAGGGGTTGGGTCTGCTGCCTGCTCCGGGACCAGGAGATGGATGTGGAACAGGACAGCACAGGCAGACTGGAATGCCTGCTCAGAGGCGCTGCACTCAGGGCTTCAGAGTCCCAGCAGGGCTCTGGAGGAACAGGCCCAGCTCACAGGGGAGCAGTGACAGGGTGCCCTTCCCTGAGCAGATCTGGGTGTCCCCACATGGGTGCTCTGCTCCTGAATGCAGGAACAGCCAACCTGCAGTAGGAACAGGGAACTAAAAGGATGCTCTTGATGAGCCCAAACACTGTCAGACTGCTGGCATCCCATCTCCTCTGTACATGGAGACTGTGGGGAAGATGGAGACGGTGGGAAGGGACAGGGTGTGCTGGAAGCAATTTGAGCAGAGAGGTTGTGACTGGTGCCTGATCCACTGCCCACCAGGACCTCCATTCAAATTCAGCTCCTGGAAGAGTGGGGTGAGGAGCTGCCACCTTCCAGAGCCCCACGAGCAGCCCCTGTGCAGGGACCACTAGCCTCTGAAGACGTGTGCCCCAGCAGATGATAGCAAAGGGGTCAGTTATTAAAAGGTTAGTACAGCAATACCCTTAAACAGGGAAGAAAACTTCCTAATGCAAACATTACCCTATGCCTGGAAGAAAAATGAAAAATAAGGGGTTACTGTCTTCTTCCTACTCTTTTCCTTCCTATTTTAGCATTATATTTCAAGCTCTTAAGAAGTGGCGAATGCTCCATCCCCAGCAGTGTTCAAGGCCAGGTTGGACACAGGGGTTTGGAGCAAGCTGCTCTAGTGGAAGGGGTCCCTGCCCGTGGCAGGGGGTGGAGCTGGAGGAGCTTTAAGGTCTCTCCCGACCCAAACTATTCTGAGAGTCTGTGACAACTGGGAACCTGGAGAGAGGCACCCCCGAGGTCAGCAATGCTGAGGCTGTGAGCTGTGAGCTGTGAGCTCCAGCCAGCCCCACACCGACCTTCCCAACCGGCCAGAAGCACAGACACATCAGAGGTGCCCACTGCTGTGTGCATACACAGAGCACAGAGACAGCAGCCTAAGACTGACAAAACCCCAAAGTTCTCACTCTTTCCCCTGCAAAGGAGATGAAGAAGTATTAGTTAGACAAAGCACTCAATGTCTAGATAGAAGACTGGTGGTCCCTTATCAAAGTGGGACCCCTACCTCTGTATCCATGCTACACCTCCTGGGCATGGCAGGAATGACAATCAAGTCCGTGTTTCCCTTCCCAACAGGGTATGATGTCCTGACACAGAACATGAGAAAAACTTGATGGGTAGAGTGCAGATGGGCATGAACCAGAGGCAGATAAAGCCAATAAGACACGGTTACATGTCTGTGGCCCTGTGAGCAAGCCCAGGTAGGTGGGCCAGCGCTGGGTCACGCCAAAAGGAGAAGTGCTTCCCTCCTTGCATCCTCTCTTCACCTTTCTGTACGTGCACAGATTTTTCCCACTTTGGGTCCTGTTGGTTTGTGTTCCCACTCGTTTCAGCTGCCAGAAGCGCTGAGCTGCTTTGGCACATGGGTGTTTAAAGTGAATGCCTTTTGTCCCTCTGCTCGAACACATCCACCCCGCGCTGAGGCTGATAAAGGCAGCAGCAATTTCCTGCTAAGTGGCTAATCCAGGGCAAATCATAATGATTCATCAGAGGAACGAGTGGCTGTGGCTGGCAGAGGAGCTGCTCTCCACATCCAACCCGGCATTTTCACGCAGCAAACTCCCCTTTTCTGAATACCTTTTGGTACTTTAATATTCCACAGATTTTTTTAAATACCAGCAAAGCCAAAAATCTGGAACATCTCACAGCGAGCCACAAACTTCCTGAGAAAATCGCACATTTTGGCTCAGCTCCTGGTGAGAAAGGGCCTGTAGGGAGGTTCTGGGCTGCCAGGGCATATGTAGTTTGCAAGTTATTAATAATTAATACATAATTCCTAGTAGAGACCTTCTGAAGCAGCGCTGGATTGTGCAGAGCCTCCCCAGAACAGAGCCGCGCTGCGCAGCCCGGAGCACGGCTGTGCACTGGGTATGGTACAAAGTGACACTTCCATCCGCTCCCCCTACATGAGGCCTTTCAGACCTCCGCCAAATACCTTTGGTTTTTGGCAGTTGGGCAGCATTTTGCCACAATATTTTTATACAGGGCTCCATCTGCGGACTGCAAAAGCAACTCGAGGAACACCAGACTTAAATGGGGGCACAAGAACAGCTTGCTCACACATACACAGACCAAGCAGGCTGGGAGAACAAAGAGCGTTTGGGTATTGACTCAAAGTCAAATCAGAAAGGGAATTTAGGAACTGATTTTTCAGCTAGCTGGAGTCACTGATACTCAGATGGGGTGAGGAGAAGCTCCCCATGACCCGGCTTCAGTGTGCCCTTCAGCCCAGAACCCCCCCGTGTGCGGGGCTGCACCCCCAGAGCGTGAGCAGCAGCTCAGGGAGGGGATCCTGCCCCTCTGCTGTGCTCTGGGGAGACCCCCCCTGCAGCCCTGATCCAGCTCTGGGGCAGCAGCACAAGAGGGACGTGGAGCTGTTGGAGCGAGGCCAGAGGAGGCCATGGAGATGCTGTGAGGGCTGGAGCAGCTCTGCTCTGGAGCCAGGCTGAGAGAGCTGGGCTGGGGCAGCCTGGAGAAGAGAAGGCTCCTGAAGGGGAGACCTGAGAGCAGCTCCAGTGCCTGAAGGGGCTGCAGGAAAGCTGGAGAGGGGCTTGGGACAAGGGATGTAGGGACAGGCCAAGGGGAATGGCTTTAACCTGCCCGAGGGGAGACTGAGCTGAGCTCTTAGGCAGAAGCTCTTCCAGCCCAAACCTGAGTTTATGATACCTGGCAGGAACCAGAACCTTTCCATCCCTGATGGATGCAGCTGCCTGCAGTGAAAGCCTCTGCCAAAAAGGTGTGAGTTGCTCAGCTGCTCACTTCACTGCTAGAGTGACAAGGCACATCAGCAGGAAGGGCAAGAAACTGACTGCAGTAAATCCCCACATTGCATTCCAAGTCTTGGGACATAAAACAGGAAAAAACTCACTACTACCTGAGAATACTGACGTAAAACTGGAAAAGACAACCAGTGCCTGCGAATTAGACAAACTGAACTGTAGCAGCAAGCACACGGTAGAAATCCATACCCCACATAACTCCTAGAAGGAGCTGAAGAGCTACTTCACCAAAGGCAGGTCTTTCAGCAGAGGAGCTGCTGGGGTGATGGGTGTCTGCACCAGGAGGCACTGAGCACCCATCAGAAAAGACAGAGACATTCAGTGCAGCACCAGTTAAACTGGGGAGACCCTTTCGTGTCTCTGGAGGACATGGTGGCCAGGCCAGTGCTACCAGGGCTAAGGAAGGAGGAAGGAAAATCCATAGAACTCAAATAATCCATCTCACAGGCTTAGAGCTGCCACTCTGTAAACCCTGCACTGGCCAGGTCCTGTGCGGCTCCTCAGCAGCACTGACCTCCAGAGCTTCAGCTGCAGGTTCAACCTCTAATCAGTACCTTCCACTCACTGCCACTCGTCTCAAGACACAGTTTTGTCATTACTTTTTAAACCTGAAACGTGTCCCTGTGTCTCCTCACATCCACAACATCATCTCAGGATGAGAAACAATAAAGCTGGAGGCAGAATAATAAACTCTGATTCCCCAGGAGCTGTCTGGAGCTTCCCAAGCCCCCAGCAGGAACTCTGAGCCTTTCCCCACGCTCCACCTCTCACACCACCAGGTTGTCTATTTGCAGCTCTCGCTCACAGACACGCATCAGACCAGGCTGTCAGCTTGGCTCACAGGAAGATCTTTGAGACAAAAAAACCCTGCAACTGATGCTACCAAAGAGCTGAGTGCCAGTGATGGGTAGTGGGGATGGGTGGCATAAGACAGGCTGCTGTGGGGAGAGCATCAGGCAGCACCAAGCAAAGGTGTGCTCTGAAACCCCCAAACCCCCCATTTTTCATGCAAAGCATAAGCCTGAGGCAGCTTTATTCTTATTTCATCAAAGATAAATACAGCTGCTCACAGTGCTTGGATTTATTGTGTGCGCTTCAGGTCCCAAGCATTCCCACACAGAAGCAGAGCAGCATCCTTACTACAAGATAAACCTGGATTTCTGATGCAGTGGCATCTGCTCTGCAATAGCTTTAAATTAAGTGGTTGCCATGGGAACAGATGCTCCCACACTGCTGGGTCTGCCTCATGCTGCCACTCTGCTCACAGCCCAGGTGGGTTTCGGGTTAACCCCCTACCACTACTTCATCTTGACTAACAGAGCTGGACTGAAGCACCAAACCTCCAGCTCGAGCCTAGGATTGACTGGGTGCTGCTTGCTGCTGAGCTGCTCTGGGGTAGGGGTTAGGCTTGATGATCTTAAAGGTCTTCTCCAACCTGGTTGATTCTGTGACTCATTTTAGAACAAGTCTTTCTGGATTCAGGCTATTTTTGGTACCCCAAGCTCCTCCTCGATGCACTGCCAAAGCATGCTGAGGACCTGGAGAACACCTTGCTCAAGTGCCAGTGCATTTTGTTCCTGTGTTGTCAAAGCACCCGGAGCAGGTCTTACAGGCCTGTGCTGTCCACAGGCACTTACCCAGGACCTGAGGAGTGATGCTGTCCCACAGGTGATGGTTTGCGCTGTTTTGATCCACCCAGCATCCTGGTCCTTGTGTGGGGGCTGATTTCAACATAAAATCACAGAATAGTTAGGGTTGGAAAGGACCTTAAGATCATCCAGGTCCAACCCCC